TAGGACGGGGATTTGTTTGCGGCGTCGGATCTTCCTTCGACGATATCCACCTGGACAATCAGTCTTGTCAGGAGGATAGAGCGCAGAGTGTGTACCCTGGGTTGATGAGCAAATCGCGATAGAAATGATGAAATATTGAGGCGGACGAGAGCAGGGTAGAGTGATGATGGATTTTGTCACGGAGAGCAGCACAAAAAATATGCCTGAAGATTCCAGTTTCCAATCGGCGCATCTTACCTGCGATGACATGCATCAGATGCATGGAATCTAACATAGGGAATGTAACCAAAGCTGACAAGTCCACCGAAGAGGTATTGAGAGATGCAATTAGCTTGGGACAACACGGAGAGGCGAAGAAAGGAACACATTTATCGGGGAACAAATGCAACTTAGAGACATCGTATGTATTCCTTGCTGAGGGAAGTAATTGGGCTTTGAAGGTACACATTGCTCGAAAGGTTGATGGCCTTCTAGCAGCGAGAGACATTACGGATCAGACTGGCAGCCAGGGGAGAGAAGAGCGTCCCCAAGAGGATGACCACCGCGGTGCCATCAGTTCATGTGCACGGGTAGAGATGGATTATGACGTCGCACGACCATGACGGATGGCGCACGGCACGGTGAGACCTTTGTCCGGCAGTCGCTGGAGCGGTGAACTATTTTGAATTGAGGTTCCTCCAATCAAAAACACCGTAGGTGGCATGTGGTCAATCCAATTTACGTGAGCAGTGCACGCTGTTTCCTTTATTAATCACACTGGGGGTGTAACATGTACAGTAATGGTAGTTTTCAATGAATACCATTGGTGAACGTGTTCAATGAATACCATTAAAATCACGACTGTCTTTCGAAAACGTAGTCTCGTCCATTGTTAGCATTCAGATTCGAATCGTCTGGTTTATTGTATAATTTATAAATGCTGCATTGGATTCTACGTCAATTAATCTTATTGCAAGTGTGCAGTGGCGGTGGATGGTGCCTCGCGGAATGCATCTTAATGGCTGTAGTTTGTGAGCAATGCAGTAAACTAAGATTTAATGCGGGGGAAATGTGCATTGTAGCTGCAGAAAAGGGTGTTCTGATGTTGTGGAAACCTGCGCAATTAGTACTTTTTGAAGCAAGCACGTCTCTGAAGAATCAACACATCATAAATGAATACAATAACAATTAACAGTTTTTCTAAAAGCGTGAATTTTCGCTCACCAAAACAACACATTTTAACCACATAAAAATCCCACAAGCCTTTATCTATACAAGGACACAAATTAACTTCCTCTGATTAATAATGCTTTTTTAAGAGTTTATGAGTGTCTCTCTTTTTCTCTCTAATACCCTGCCTGCACAAACCCCTAACATCCTTTTAATGGCTGTAGGTGGAGACCTATCGCGTGAATGGCACAGTAATTAAGAGCGTGTGCATGGTAGGGCACTACAATGCGTTGTGTCAAAGGGAGGGCTTCGCGGATTTTGAGGAGCAGCCATGAGTGTTTTAAACATTCTATATTTTTTTTCTCCTCCACGACCACTGATTTTTTTTGCACAGGGCCAGTCGCCGCTAGGCATGGCCAGTGATCCTTTTGTTTAAACGTGCAGCCGAGATTGCAGCTGCAATCTATAGATCAAGTCCCAGCGTCTCTGTGGTGATTCATCACTGCTTGGGTTGGCCTCCAAGTGGCTTTCGCTCAACTGAGATATCACGATAACACACTATAGACCGCTTTAAAATAAAACATTTAGTTTGTGATTTTATTCAGCACCATTTGCCAGCGTTCATGGTGACCCGCTAATTTTCAGACACCTCAGATGTCACCTATGCGTGGTGAATTGCAGCATGGTGATATATTGTCCGTTTTGAATGACCCACGTATTGCGTGCTGAAAAGTGGTAATTGGATTAGGATACGGCGTAGCTAAAGTCATCGGAGGCTTAACCTCTCAGAGTCAAATGGCCCACTTGTAACGCTGTAATGTGCCACATTTTCACGTGCGTGTCAATGTGTAGGCTGGCGGGTGGGGTATTGCGTGTTGCCCGGCTCAGTGTTCCGTGACACGCAGGGAAATGTCACCACATTGGGCACTTTTTTCAGGGGAAGGCATGGCAATATCAGCCTTGCCCCCACTGTGGCAGCTAAATGACTATTGGCATTAAGCCAAATATTGTGTATTATAGCGCTCAATTATGAAGTGTCATTGCCCATCATTGTAAGACAAACAGCCGTATTAAATCGAATGTGTATTCCGTAAATGTATCGCCTTCAGTATCATGAGTGCAAGATACTCATTCGTGGAAATTGGCCAAATATTCCAATGTATGAACCTCCTGAAGAAAAACAAGTCGTGAGAATATGCGAGGCTTCCCTGTGTAAATCGAGCGCATCATTGTAAATGTTTTGTATGCATTATTCATTGTAGCTTGAAGCTAATATTTCTCAATGCATGTTATTATTTGGCAATATCGTCACCATCGTCACGTGATACGCATCGCATTGTTCCTTGTAATTTAATTAGCGAATCAGTCGTCCTTCCGAAATCAGATAAAGAGCTGAAAATAGGCTCTCACCTGGTTTATAAAGGGCCTGAATTGAACGATCTTACACCCTTCCCCTAAGGGAGAGAATAGGAGAATTCCTGGTGCAAATAGAGACTTGCATAGGCGTGACTAGGAAGACCCGTGCCTTTTTTATATATAACTTAGGGTCGTGCGAATGATATAATGAAATAGCCAGCAGCTGTGTTATCTCACGCCCCATGTGGGGTGGAGGGGGTTGCTGCTTGGGTGGGTGGTGTTAGTTGGTTCGTTGTGTACAGGGACTACTCTACTTACGAACACTCGACTTCAGAACTTTCAGAGATACGAACAATCCAGTCCGCATGTAACAGTTGCCTGTTCGGACCGAGAGCCGTAAGTTCAACCGCAGCGCAATAGATGGCGGTGGTGGCATCTCCGCCTGCAGACCATGAAGAACCAGTGGCATCTACATCTACAGAAGGTGATACGACTTTCAAAACCATTACCCGTGTTTAGTGTACACGCCGCACAACGTGTTTGGAATCAACAGGAGTAAAGTTGGGACTTACGGACAAACCGAACTGACGAACAGACGCCTCTAGAACCGAACGTGTTCGTAAGTAGAGGAGTCCCTGTTTCGACCACAAGGATCGGCAACAGAAATACCAAGAAGAGCGATAAAGAATTAAAGCTTTCGTGACTGCATAAATTGCTCATTGGTTTTTTCGGTAAAGGCACGTATGTAGAAATACCATAAAATTATATTAAAATAAATCAATCACGACGTTTCGACCGCAACACAAGCGATCTTCATCAGGTGTAAAAAACAAATAGCACATAGGGTGACATCAACGCAACACATAGAGAGCGTTAAACTGCACGGAGGTAAATACAACAAGAAGATGAGAGACGAGAATTCAACAAACTTAAGAAAAAATTACGTGATGCAAAACCAGTCGGCCAACGACACAGCTAGACACTGGCCGACTGGTTTTGCATCATGTAAATTTTTTTTAAGTTTGTTGAATTCTCGTCTCTCATCTGCTTATTGTATTTACCTCTTGTGCAGTTTAACGTTCTCTATGTGTTGCGTTGATGTCACCCTATGTGCTATTTGTTTTTTACACCTGATGAAGATCGCTTGTGTTGCGGTCGAAACGTCGTGATTGATTTATTTTAATATAATTTTATGGTATTTCTACATACGTGACTTTACCGAAAAAAACAATGAGTAAGAAGAGCGATGTTTGTCGAACTCTATAAAAAAAAAAACTCAATATTTCAAGAGCTCCCAATGCACGTGACTACGAGACGGTGGCCTTTTATATAAAAAAAAACGTTACGAAGCAGTCCTTAAAGAACCCGCAGGTTTCCCCACCCCTGGCACAGACGTTGAGTCGTCGTTTGGGTGGGCGATTGCTGCGTCGATTTTGGGTTGGTGGAGGTCGTTGAGTGGATTGTTGGGTGAGTTAGGGGTCGGGAGGTTAGTTGGGAGTGTGCTTGGTTCGGTGTGTGGGTTCTGATTCGTTGGTTGTGAGCGGATGTGCTAAGTGGTGGTTGATGAGGGGTTGGTTGTGTGAGTGGCTGGGTAGGTATGTGGTTAGTTGTGTGGGTGGGTGCTTGGTTGGTTGGGTGAGTGGTTGGTTTTGTGGAAGCGCGGTTGTTTATGATTGGTTTTGTGTCGGTGGTTGGTTGAGTGAGTGGTTGGTTTCGTGGGTGCGTGGTTTATGGATGGCTTTGCTGGTTGTTGGTGTGTGACTGGTTCGGTAGATGTGTACAGTAATTAGTTTGTTCAGTTGTTAATTTCGTGAGCGTTGTTGATTTCGTGATTGGTGGTCGTTTGCATGAGTGAGCGGGTGATAGGTTGGATGTCGATCGGCTGGGTAGAGATAGTGGTGGTGGGGAGGAGGCGAGGTAGTTGATCAATGGGCGGTGGATGGAGTGTGGAGGGGTGGAGGAGGCTGTGTGTGGTGCCCGGACATCACATCTCAGTTATCGGTGGATGGCTGGTTGCGAGAAAATTTCGGCTGAATCATCCATTCCGCTTTGGGGGGACGTGCGGGGAGGGGTTTACGAGCCACACGCACTGCGGATAACGGGCACGCGGTTCCCTCCATGGAGTCTCTCGCCTTTAATTGTTGGGCGCTGTTTATTTAAGCGCGTGTCAATTTACATCCCACAGTGGTGACTTGGTGTTGACGATTCGCTATCGCGCACGTTCTCGATGTTGTCTGTGAGATCCGGGGCCGCGACGGAGCGGTGAGCGCCACGCTGCGCTACGAACCCGGCGATCCGAGTTGGATTTCCGCTCGCGGCCAACAGCAGTGACTATTATCTGAACCGGTCCTGGACCTCCCCTAGGTCGACTCAGCCTTAAAATATTATCCGGTGCGAAGACCAAGGCGGCCGGGCGTGGCGCTGGCCGCCCACCCCCTCGTGCGCCGTGCCGGGCTTTAGAAGGGGCTCGCTAACAGCACTTGCCCCAACAGTCTGTTAAGGGCTACACGGGGGATCTTTGTCCCTTTATTATAGAGCAGCAGCAGCAGCAGCATCCCGCCTCTGCGTTGTTGCGCAACGGGCAACAACGCACGCTGCGCTGGGTTGCTGTGTATAGGAGGTGGCGACGAGGTGGGTGAGGGGGGGTGGACGAGCGGAGGGAGGCAGTGGGTGAGCTGAGACGCGTTGCGTTACACGGAGCGGAGGGAGCGAGTGGAAAGAGAGAGAGAGAGGGAGGCAGTGCGAGACCCACACGGTCATACCAAGTGACACCCACGTACCCCGTACGAAGACTCTCATTAAAGCGCCGTCGGACCAAACTTGATCGGGATAGAGTTTCGTTTTTGTTTTGCACGAGGCAAGCGGGGCTATCGGGATAAGAGGAATGAACTTTTTGAGGCTGTGGGGTCGGAGGAAGATGGGTTGCACCGTCTCGACGGATGAGCGCACAGGAGCGCAGAGCAGCTCGCAGGGGCAGTCGCAGGCTTCGCGCAAGCAACAGCAGCCGGAGCAGCAGCGTGCAGCAGGAGAGGGCCACCAGCCGCCTGGGCCACCGCAAGCGCCGTCCGAGAGTCAGAGGCGGCTGGTGCGCGACTCGTGGCTCGCTCTGCAGTGTGACATCGCTCGTGTGGGAGTCATCATGTTCGTGAGGTGAGAATTGCCTCGGGTTGTTAGCGCTGCCGGGTGGAGGTTTCTGTTTTTCTCCCGGCTGTGATGTGTGGTGGTGCGCGGAGCTGGTGAGACCTCGTGTGCCGTGCGAAGAGAAACAACAAAATAACAAAATATATATAAAACAATAAAAAATTCTCACGACGTTTCGACCATAACTCAAACGGTCATCATCACCTGATCATCACCTGATGATGACCGTTTGAGTTATGGTCGAAACGTCGTGAGAATTTTTTATTGTTTTATATATATTTTGTTATTTTGTTGTTTCTCTTCAACGTGACTTTACCGAAAAAACTAAGAATATGAATTACTGCAGTCACGAAAGCTTTAAATCAAAATTTAAATATATTTGTCTTGGGTTTTTTTTGTTTGTTTGTTTGTGGATGGCTTTATGAGCGGTGTTCGGGTTGTTGCTGGTTCGAAATCATGTCCGACGTTTCGCTCCACGTTGCTGAGAGCTTCTTCTAAAACTGAATTCGGAAAATAAACACGAAAGCACACCGGGGACCCGATATTCGAGTTGTTCTCGAATCGGTTGTTTAGGAATTGTGATTAGACGGCAAGTTTGACCTGCGTTTGTGGTCTGTGGATTTTTTGAACATTTGGAAACACATGGCGTAGTGTACTGCGCTCCTTACGAGCCCGGCTGACATCAGTGGTAAAGTGATAGCTCAAACCGGTCCGTCCTTCTCCCCTCGAACCAAGTCGCGCTGACCAGGGTGGTCACCTTGAAACTTGTGGTGAAGTAAGCTCGAACAACCCGCACGATCGAAGGGGCGTCGTGAGAGGTCTTCAAATCAACCGTGGGATGAATATGCCGTGCATTTTATGACATTGTATTGCAATGCACATCTGATGCAGAAATTTTATTTGTCAAAATATATGTTGAAAAACCAAATCATTTGGCATATTTGCCCACGTGACAACTCTATTTAATTGCCTCTGTCTTGTGTGTGAGACTTATAGTATTTTAAAATGATATACCCACACGATCTAACCCCAAAGAAACCAGTTATTAATCATATTGATCGTGAAAGCCTTACGAATTAAACGAAGCATACATTATTGTTATGAATGTTATCACGAAAGTCTTTTTTTTGCAAATATTGCGCAAGCTTTAAACGACTCCATGCCTAAAAGGGATGAGACTCACAAGAGAACATCTTCATACCAACACGCTTGTGTATGTTTATGTTATTAACATGGCTCAAACTGCTTTGTAAATATCAAATATAATCCATTAAGAGTGCTCGATACCTTTTGTTATGGACACTCTGCGATGTTACTGGAATTTGTTTATCTGGGCAAGACCCATTGAGTCTCAAGGTTCACTTTTATAAACTAAACATTTTATATTATTTTACAAGGTAAGACCCAATGAGCTATGTACAGTGAGGGAAAAAAGTATTTGATCCCCTGCTGATTTTGTACGTTTGCCCACTAACAAAGAAATGATCAGTCTATAATTTTAATGGTAGGTTTATTTGAACAGTGAGAAACAGAATAACAACAAAATAATCCAGAAAAACGCATGTAAAAAATGTTATAAATTGATTTGCATTTTAATGAGGGAAATAAGTATTTGACCCCTCTGCAAAACATGACTTAGTATTTAGTGGCAAAACCCTTTTTGGCAATCACAGAGGTCAGTCGTTTCTTGTAGTTGTCCACCAGGTTTGCACACATCTCAGGAGGGATTTTGTCCCACTCCTCTTTGCAAATCTTCTCCAAGTCATTAAGGTTTCGAAGCTGACGTTTGGCAACTCGAACCTTCAGCTCCCTCCACAGATTTTCTATGGGATTAAGGTCTGGAGACTGGCTAGGCCACTCCAGGACCTTAATGTGCTTCTTCTTGAGCCACTCCTTTGTTGCCTTGGCCGTGTGTTTTGGGTCATTGTCATGCTGGAATACCCATCCACGACCCATTTTTAATGCCCTGGCTGAGGGAAGGAGGTTCTCACCCAAGATTTGACGGTACATGGCCCTGTCCATTGTCCCTTTGATGCGGTGAAGTTGTCCTGTCCCCTTAGCAGAAAAACACCCCCAAGGCATGTTTCCACCTCCATGTTTGACGGTGGGGATGGTGTTCTTGGGGGCATAGGCAGCATTCCTCCTCCTTCAAACACGACGAGTTGAGTTGATGCCAAAGAGCTCCATTTTGGTCTCATCTGACCACAACACTTTCACCCAGTTGTCCTCTGAATCATTCCGATGTTCATTGGCAAACTTCAGACGGACATGTATAAGTGCTTTCTTGAGCAGGGTGACCTTGCGGGCGCTGCAGGATTTCAGTCTTTCACGGCGTAGTGTGCTACCAATTGTTTTCTTGGTGACTATGGTCCCAGCTGCCTTGAGATCATTGACAAGATCCTCCCGTGTAGTTCTGGGCTGATTCCTCACCGTTCTCATGATCATTGCAACTCCACGAGGTGAGATCTTGCATAGAGCCCCAGGCCGAGGGAGATTGACAGTTATTTTGTGTTTCTTCCATTTGCGAATAATCGCACCAACTGTTGTCACCTTCTCACCAAGCTGCTTGGCAATGGTCTTGTAGCCCATTCCAGCCTTGTGTAGGTCTACAATCTTGTCCCTGACATCCTTGGAGAGCTCTTTGGTCTTGGCCATGGTGGAAAGTTTGCAATCTGATTGATTGATTGCTTCTGTGGACAGGTGCCTTTTTATAAAGGTAACAAGCTGAGATTAGGAGCACTCCCTTTAAGAGCGTGCTCCTAATCTCAGCTCGTTACCTGTATAAAAGACACCTGGGAGCCAGAAATCTTTTTGATTGAGATTGGGTCAAATACTTATTTCCCTCATTAAAATGCAAATCAATTTATAAAAATTTTGACATGCGTTTTTCTGGATTTTGTTGTTATTCTGTCTCTCACTGTTCAAATAAACCTACCATTAAAATTATAGACTGATAATACTTTTTTCCCTCACTGTACCTCTTTTTCATAAGCGACCTGGCCACAAATGATAGCTCAACAAAGTAGCTTATCACGTGGAAATTTATAGCAGCCAAATACTCCAAACTCATATTTCTCAATGTGGTGGGGAAAAGCTGGAGGACCCGGAGACAAATCCACGCGACCATGGGGAGAGAAACACGCAAACTCCAAATATACAGCAGGCATCAGGGTCGGGGTCGAACCCACGACCTCCTGCGTACCAGGCGAGGGAGACAACATCTCGTCATCACGGCGCAATCCAAAGTCCTGCAGCTGGGAATTGTGGATTTGATTACAGTTTTTGTATTTGCCTGTGGAAGGAAACTGGAGAATTACACGAGAACACAGAAGCCCCATGCATTGAGGGGGGAGGGGGGGTAACTTCTGGAAGCGTTTGTCATTAACCCACTTGCTGTACTGCCATCTACTGGTGACCTTTTGATGATTGTATCACGTACTTAACCTCAGCATAGATCCACCACCCTCGCCTCCTTATCTTTAGTTTACAGGTTTGAAACAATTACTTTGCATTCAATGCATTTTTACATATGGGCTGAACACAACACCCAGTTGAATACGAATGCCGTTTATTCGCTTATATTGCAATATATTTCTGATACATATGACATAGGAATTGCATGAAAGAGCTTTTGAGTCAGCGTTTATCAAACTAGATTTTAAAAACAAAATGCAATATTTTCTCTATCAGGGAGCTTGTGTTTGCAAAGTCAGCACTAAATGTGTGCTGACACTCTTGACTGTTAAGGGGCCATCCATTTAGTACGTACGCATGCAGGGGGAGGGGGGGGGTTAACCCAAATGCATTCGCTTGCGTATGGGGGGGGGTCTACTGACAATGTACGCATAGGGCACGGGGGGATGGGGAGTGAAGCCTCGATAATAGTTTGTCTACATTGGCCTTCAAATGAGTTAGATAGTCCGGCGGTGGACTATCTGTTTGCTTAAAGACGTTAATATTATTAATCCTTGATCGTTTCTGCGTTGATTAAATATCGGCCGTTCTATAGGATTCGGGGGGGGGGGGCGTCAGGCGTACGTACGCAGGTAGGGGGGGGCTGTAAAAAGTCCGCGTGCGTACAGGGAGGGGTCAAGTTTTGATAGATTTTTTTGCGTACGTACTAAATGGATGGCCCCTAGATAAACTGTTGTTGTAATTGTCCTGAGGTCTGTTTGGCCTCCTTTCCACTGATTAATTTTACAAGCGCTATCCCTGATAACGAAAAATAAAGCACTGCGGCAATTTGCAGAAGCACAATGCAATTTGTGAGTTTGATCAAGGCACAGGAAGGACATTTGAAGCAATTGGCGGAACCCCGGGGTCCCATCACTGACCCGGGGTGGGAAAAACTGCGTAGCGACACGAGTCTTGCCTTACCGACAACAAAAACTAGTGGTCAATCGATTGGCCTCGTCGAGAGCTACTCGGGGCACTAAGTTTCGTAAAAAGTTGAAAAATTTACATAAACACGTTAAATTCACTGCCTGGGGGGCGGGCTCGCCTTGGCAAAGAAGCTGAGGATCGACGGCTGACCGGAGGGCGTCGTCGCCGCACGCGACTGCGGCGGACGCCCCCCGGGCTTGCGTTTGGCCGGTGGGGTGGCGCCCATCGTGTCGATCGCCGCCTGCTGCTGGCGTTTGTTGGCGCCAGTCTGGGTGGGCGGCGCGTTGCTGTCGGGGTCACGAGTGGACGGACTGATGAATAATAATCATTGACCTGATTTTTGCGGGACCCCGGGATCCCGCCAAATGATTAAGTTTGATAATTATTGTGAACACTGCATTAAACATTTTTGTCCCTTGTTGTGTATACCAAGGGTTACAACGGTTAGCTTATTAATGAAAATGTAAGGAAGCCAATGTATGGAGAAAATTACCTCCCTCGAACAGGCAACAACTCACTGTTCAAAATCACAATTGATGGAATTATATAATGGAGTGCCTTAGCTTCCGAAGTCAACTCAGGCTTGCTCAGCAGTTCAAATTACCAGGCTGATGGCACTCAAAAAC